TAAGTGAACGGGGCGACTTGTGTTTTTTCGGGCTGTTTTGGGGGGCGCCTTTGGGTGTATGCAGTCCCTCCTTGGACGTGTTGGAGCCATCTGGGGCGACGTTGAGGCCCCATCTTGGGCCGCCTTGGAGCGGCTTGGGCACCGTGGAGGCCAACGGAGGCCGTCCGAGAACGCGTTGGAGCAGATGGGACCTCCGCCCCGCTTTGCCCACGTGCTTTGCCCCTGCGCCCCCCGCCCCAAATCGCCACCGCCGCCATCGCCGCCACCACCACCACCCACACCTGCCACTGGACCGAGCTTCTGGGGGGAAGGGCCTGTGGGGGGGCTACAGTCTCACACGCTGGGAAGGCCCCAAAGGGTGGGCGAATTGTCGACCCGGAGGTTGAGCAGATGTAACCATTGCACACGTGTAGGGCGGCTGCTTTTGAGAGTGGGATTGTCGCTCCGGACGTTCGCAGACTTATGAACCAGACATGTAAGCTGGTGTACTAGTTGTGCAGATGTGGGGGGCTGCTCTTCTTCAAAGCGGGGCTCTTGCTGGACAAGTTATGACCCTAGCGTGCTGCACCTCTTGTACTGCTAGGAGGGTGCAGACTAGTCCCTTTACCGATGGGGCTCTCGCCTGAATAGCAGGCAGATTGGATGATCAAATTCAAGGGGTCGCCTTCTCTTGCGACAGGAGGCCTTGCAGGGGCATGTGATGACGGAGCTTTGGGCGGGAGCGTGTGTTTCAGCATCATTGACGTTTCCTGGTTTCACCTTGGTCCTTCTCATGGTTCTCCTCCTCCGCCTCCTCCTCCTCCGCCCTTGCACCCTTCGGCACCCTTGAAGGCCTTCAGGGGCGGTCAGCGAGGCGGATGCCGAGAGCATCGTGCAGCCCGAGGCATGGGAGGGGGAAACAGCAGGAATAGTTACACGAGGGACGTTGGGAGGAGGACGATGACGATGATGATGCTGATGATGATGATGATGATGATGATGATGATGATGATGATGATGATGATGATGATGCTGATGCTGATGCTGATGCTGATGATGATGATGCTGATGCTGCTGATGCTGATGCTGCTGCTGATGATGATGCTGATGCTGATGCTGATGCTGATGCTGATGAGGAGGAGGAGAAGGAGGATGAGGAGGAGGAGGAGGCGGATCGAGAGGTGGGGGGTGGGAGGGAGGAGGGGGAAAAGGGGGAGGAGGAGGAGGCGGAGCGGAGGGTGGAGCGAGAACAGGGGGAGAAGTGGCAGAAATGGGCGGGGAGAAGCAGGATACTAGAGCAGTCAGGGGAGTGATGGAGGTGGGCGTGGGGGGAGTTATGAGGAGTTTGACGGGAGGGGGAGGGGGAATTGGTGAAGTGGGAGTGGGAGGGGGAGGGGGAATTGGAGGAGTTGGGAGGAGGGAGAGAGGGAAGGACGATGGGGAGGGAGGATAAGGGAGAACGGGAGGAGGATACGGAGGAAGAGGAGTTGGCGGATGAGGATGTAGGAGCAGCAGGGTCATCGATACCATGGCACACGGGTTGGAGACGCCTGGTAGTCACCAGTTTGCGCTCTGATCTGGGTAAGCAGGGGTCACGGCGAGGCCCTCGCACGCCCTCCTTATATTCCACCCCAAGGATATCTAAAGCGGGATCATTGTTTTGGGGCGCTTGCCTTCAGTCGTGCTGTGCACAGCCGCCGTTTGATCCTTCTCGAGAAATCCCTTCAAGAGGCATTCATACAGAGAGCCCAGCCGATAAAACAGTTGCAACGCAGTTCCATCAAACCAGGACTGGCCCCTCACCGCCAAGCCTAGTGGATGGCCTCATGATGAGGATGGAGGATTGGGGAGAAGGGGGGTGGGGGTGGAGGATGGAGGATGCAGGATGGAGGATGAAGGAGCAGGAGCAGCCCGAGGCCCATGACTGGCAGCCCGACTCGGAGACCGAGGCCTGCATGCGCTGCCGAGCCAAATTTTCGTGGCCGCTGAAGAAGAAACACCACTGCAGGCGAGGTGGAGGAGGAGTAGGGGACGGGGACGGGGATGGAGAGGACGAGGTGCAGGTCCATGTTGCTGTCGCCGCTGTAGTGGTTGATCTTGCTATTGGTGATGTAGGTGATGACAGCAACGATGGCGCCGACGATGGTGCTGTTGATGTGGGCGGTATGGCGATCAACGTGTTGATTGATGGTGATGGCGACGGCGACAATGAGGTTGGTAACACCGATACCAACGGCGATCATGCTAACGGTGGTACCGATGCTGATGTTGGTGGCGTTGATGGCGTGGCGATGCCCGTGGTGATGACAGCCGTGCTTGACGATGCCGGTGGTGATGATGATGGTGTTGGTGATGCTGTTTACGTCGCAGCCCCACTCAGGACGGGTGAGTATAGGACGGGTGCTTCTGTTTGACTCCCCCTTGGCAATCGCGACCCTCAACGCGCGCACACCGTGTTTTTGGGGAGGGGGGGCCTTGAGGCTCAACCTCTGCCCCCACGGCCCTCGTCTACAAAAACGGCGCCCGACGGACACCTCGTCATAATCACGTCAGGAAGAGCGCTCTCGCTCGCCACTCTACCTCGCAATCTACGGAGAACTCGTTGTCTCGCCTTTCAGGGGCACGCTCTTGTCTGAGACATCCTCGCAATGTATTCACGAATCGTGCTATCGTCTGGGACGTCCTCGCACATGGCCCAGGAACTGCGCCTAGCTTCGGAATTCCAGGTGAATTTCGTCGGGGTCCCCTCCTGTCCGCTGCAGTTTTCTGCCCGCCCGCCCGCTTGTCAGGGCCCGTCCCCGCCCGACCCGTCCGCTTTCACGTTCCGCCCGCCCGACCCGCCTGTTATGGTCTGCCCGCCCGACCTCACTAGGGACTGCCCGACCCGCCCTTTGTACCTTATCTGTTTACACATGATGCGTCGTATGAAAATGGGGTCCCCCGCTGGTGTTACACGCTGAATGGCACACGCGAGCAGATAAGAGCGACCAAGCTTGCGTAGCACCCCGCAGTTGCGGATAAGAGTGAGGGGGCGGCGAGGACGTTGGCAGTCTGCGAGGCTCTGAAGAAGCCCGTCGCAGGCGCTTAACTTTTACAAATTGCAGTGAGCTCGCTGCAGGCGCCGATTTTTTCATTAAAGCAATGTGGGTGGGTCGCGGGGTGGGTCGTGGTTGAGTCGCAGGTGGGTCGTGGACTGGGTCGCGGGTGGGTCGCGTGTGGGTCGCGTGTGGGTCGCGTGTGGGTTGCGGGTGGGTCGCGGGCGGGTCGCGGGGTGGGTCGCGGATGGGTCGCGGGTGTGTCGCGGGGTGGATCGCGGGTAAGTCACGGGTGGCTCGCGGGTGGGTCGCGGGTGGGTCGCGGGGCGGGGCGCGGGGGGGACGACGCCAAACAACAACAAACAACAAACAACAAGAATCCGCATCGTGGAATCCCACTTCAGCCACGCACCTAGGGACAGTGAATGAGCGTTCGGCCCCCTCACTCTGACAATGCTCGTTGTTGTTGTTGGTGATGACGACGGTGGTAGTGACGACGGCGAGGAAGGATGACGAGGAGGCGGAACGTGATCAGGCAGTGCGGCCTGGTCGTCTGCTCGGGCTGCTCCCCGGCCCGCCAGCTTGTGCCGGCGTTCAGCAGTACCGAGCTCGTCCGCGTCTGCAAGGTCTGTGCCCATCAACCCGCACGGCCTGAAACCATCCTCGAGGCCCCCGCGTGCCGACGAGAGAGGAGGATGTGCAGGAACAAGAGCCGGTTTCTTTGATGACGGCCGTCAGTTGGGGGGGGGAGGGGGCCGATGACGTCACGTTGCGCGCCGGCGGCGTTTGGGAATGCTTCGGGATGACCTAAGACGGATAGCAGCAGCATGTAGGTGGCGATTTGTTCCATAGCGCTTGTGTGCACCACACCGCCTATGTACATCGCAGCAGCCGCGTGCAACACAGCGCCAGTGTGTACCACCGTGCCTGCGTTCACCATTGCGCCTGTGTGCACCACAGCGTCTGTGTACACCACATCAGCCGTGTGCAACACAGCACCAGTGTACACCACAGTGCCCGCGTGCACCACAGCTCTTGTGTACACCACGGCGCCTGTGTGCACCACAGCAACCGTGTGCAACATAACACCGTTGTTGTTTTTAGAATGTTAAGGAGTTCTTATGACAACATGGAACGCCGGTGGATTCCACATAATAGAATTGTTGGATATAGGATTCGGAAAAGAAACATTCTGGGGAAAGGAGCACCGCTGAAATCTACGATGCCTCCCGAATGCTCCCGCATCATCCTGACTCCTCCCATCTGCGACCAGAAGACTCCCGCAGACTTGGCCGTCAGAGAACCGAGTGGATTGATCCGATCGACCATTCTGCGGTGCACGCTGAGATGCGCACGTGCGCTGTAGCGCCGGCCCGCGCGACGGGGGGAAGGGTGAAGGAGGAGGTGGGGGAGGTGGACGAGGAGGAGGAGGAGGAAGAGAGGACGAGGACGAGGATGAGGAGGGAGGAGGGAAACATATCGCATTCCATTATCAGCACTTCCCATGCGTTGCGTTGAGCTGTCCGCAACAGATCCTCACTTGCATGCTCCTTTCACCTGTTCTGTGCACGCACGCATCGTGGTGTACACCAGCGCTGCGTTGCACGCGGATGTTGCGTTGTACACAGGCGCTGTGGTGTGCACAACCTTCGCGGTGCACGTAAGCATCGTGGTGTACAAGTGCGCTGTGTTGCACATGGTTGCTGCGCTGTATCCAGGCGCTGCGGTGTACACAGGCGCTGCGGTGTACACAGGCGCTGCTCTGCACACGGTTGTTGCGATGTACATCGGCGTTGTGGTGTACACGCGCGCTGTGGTGCACGCGAGCACTGTGGTGTACACAGGCGCTGTGTTGCACAGGGTTGCTGCGGTGTACACATTCGCTGTGGTGTACAAGCGCGCTGTGGTGCACGCAAGTACTTTGGTGTACACAGGCGCTGCGTTGCACACGGCTTTTGCGGTGTACATAGGCGCTGTGGTGTACAAGCGCGCTGTGGTTCACGCGAGTACTGTGGTGTGCACAGGCGCTGCTGTGTTGCAGGTCGCCACCTACATGCTGCTCCTATTTGGCCGCGGTCATACCTAGGCATTCCTTGACGCCGCCGGCGCGGAACGTGACGTGATCTGGGGGGGGGCTGGGCCCGATGACGGCCGCTATCCCGGAAAGTGAAAAAAGCAGGTCCCAAAGGGGGGCATAAGGAGGAGGAGGAGGAGGAGGAGGAGGCGGAGGCGGAGGAGGAGGAGGAGGAGGAGAAGGATGAGGTTGGAGGAGGAATATGCTTGGGAGGAGGAGGATGATGAGGAGGAAAGAGGAGGAGGAGGAGGAGGAGGAGGAGGAGGAGGAGGAGGAGGAGGAGGAGGAGGAGGAGGAGGAGGAGGAGGGGGAGGAGGAGGAGGAGGACGGAGTGACGACGGCGGCGACGCCGACGCCGACGCCGACGACGACATCCCCGCAAGAATCACGCTCTGGACCTCTTCCAGGGAGCGCTCCGACCAGCATTTCGCGGAGAATCCAGCCGGGGCCACGAGACGCCTCCAGGAGGCCCGAAGCTGTCGAAGCTCGACGGCCGCGGATGCGGCGACGGCGACGGCGACGTCGGCGACAACGACGGCGGTGGCGGCGACGACGACGGCAGCGGCCGGCGCCCGCCGAGGGCGCGCCCGAGGGCAGCACCTCGCCCGCCGCGGGCGCGGAGGGGGCCCCGGCAGGCCCGTCGGCGACGCGGCAGCTGGCGCCCATAGGCGCGCGCGCTCGGCGGTCGACGTTGCCGTCGCCGTCGCCGTCGCCGTCGTCGTCGTCGTCGTCGTCGTCGTCGCCGTCGCCGTCGCCGTCGTCGTCGTCGTCGTCGTCGTCGTCGTCGTCGTCGTCGTCGTCGTCGTCGTCGTCGTCGTCCCCCCTCCCCTGCTCGCCCTCCCACTTCTCCCTCACCTCGCATCCCCCTCCTCCCCCTCCCATTTCTCCCTCCCACCTCCGTCTCCTCCTCCTCCTCCTCCTCCCTCCTCCGTTCGCGGGATGGGGGAGAGGAGGGAAGGGAAGGGGGAGGGAGACAGGAGGAAGAGGAGGAGAAGCAGGAGAAGGAGGAGGAGGGGACGGGGAAAGGGAGGGAGGGATGATGATGATGCTGATGATGACGATGATGCTCATAATGATGCTGCTGATGATGCTGCTGCTGCTGATGATGATTACGATGCTGATGCTGTGGATGATGAGGAGGAGAAGGATGGGGATGAGGACGAGGATGAGGATGAGACTGATAAGGAAGAGGAGGAGGATGAGGATGATCCTGATTATGATACTGGTGGTGGCGATGCTGCTGCTGATGACGATGATGGTGGTGGTGATGATGATGCTGCTGCGGATGATGATGCTGATGATGATGATGCTGCTGATGACTATTTTGATGGGGATGATGGCGATACTGCTGATGATGTTGATGTCGATTTAAGTAGTTGTGATGGCGATGATGATGATGCTGGGAATGATGGCGATGCTGCTGATGATGATGACGACGATGAGATGGTGATGCTGATGACGATGATGATCTTGATGAAGACGATGATTCTGATGCTGCTGGTAAGGATGATGATGCTGCTGACGATGATGATTGTGGTGGTGATGATGATGCTGCTCCTGATGCTAGTGATGAGGTTGACGATACTGATTAAATGGAGACAGTTGCTGATGCTGATGCTGCTGCTTATGATGGCGGTACTGCTGTTGCTGCTGCTGATGATGATGATGATGATGATGCTCATGCTGCTGATGGTGATGCTGATGCTGATGCTGATGAATCTGATGATGATGATGATGATGATGCTTATGCTGATGATGATGCTGGTGGTGATGATGCTGCTGCTGATGATGATGCTGATGATGATGATGATGATGATGCTGATGATGATGATGATGATGATGATGATCATGATGATGATGATGATGATGATGCTGATGATGATGCTGATGATGATGATGATGATGATGATGATGATGATGATGATGATGATGATGATGATGATGATGATGATGATGATGATGATGATACTGGTGACGAAGGAGGAGGAGGATGAGGGAGGAGGAGGAGGAGGAGAGAGGAGGAGGAGGAGGAGGAGGAGGAGGAGGAGGAGGGGAGAGAGGATGAGGAGGAGAGGGAAGGGGGGGGGGGAGGGGAGGGGAGGAGGAGGAGGAGGAGAGGAGGAGGAGGAGGAGGAGGAGGAGGGAGGAGAAGGGGAGGAGGAGGAGGAGGTAGGAGGAGGAGAGGAGGAGGAGGAGGAGGAGGAGGAGGAGGAGGAGGAAGAGAAGGAGGAGAGGAGGAGGAGGAGGAGGAGGAGGAGGAGGAGGAGGAGGAGGAGGAGGAGGGGGAGGAGGAGAGGAGGAGGAGGAGGAGGAGGGGAGGAGGAGGAGGAGGAAGCGGAGGAGGAGGTTGAGGAGGAGGAGGGAGGAGGAGGAGGAAGGAGAGGAGGAGGGAGGGGAGGGAGGAGGAGGGAAGAGGAGGGAGGGGAGGGGAGGAGGAGGGAGGAGGAGGAGGAGGAGGGCGGAGGGGAGGAGGGGGAAGGAGAAGGGAGGGAAGGAGAGGAGGGAGGAGGGAGGAGGGAGAGGGAGGAGGGAGGAGGGAGGAGGGAGGAGGGAGGAGGAGCAGGAGGAGCAAGAGGAGGAGGAGGAATAAGACAAATCATAAGCATGTTTATAATATTAATAACAGTAATAGTAAGACGAAGAATACTAATAATACGACGAAGGCAAATAATAATAATAATAATGCTAATACTAATAATAATACTAATAATAATAATAATAATAATATTCATGATAAGAATAATGCGACACCGAATAATAATACTAATCATGATAATAAGAAGAAGAAAACGAATACTAATAATAATAATGATAATAATAAGACGAACACTAAGACTAATAATACTAAAAAGACAAATAAGAAGAATGCGAATCCTAATACTACTAATAATATTAATAATACTCATAATAATAAGAAGAATAATATCAATAATACGAATACGACGACGAAGAAGAAGAGGACGAGGAGGAGGAAGAGGATGAGGTGGAGGAGCAGGAGGAGGAGGAGGAGGAGGTGGAGGAGGAGGAGGAGGAGGTGGAGGAGGAGGAGGAGGAGCAGGAGAGGAGGCGGGGGAGGGGAACGGCGGATGAGGGGCAGGAGTTGGAAGAGAATGAGCGAGCCCCCCTAGGCTCACTGACGGGCCCGGTGCCCTCTGGTATCCCCAAAGACTTCGGGGTGTTGCGCCTCAGCGTGGTCGAGGCCAAGGCGCGGGCGGCCTCGGAGAAACTGCTGCGGTGAAATCCACGGAGGGTGGACGAGAGGGATAAGGAGGATCAGGGAGGGTGACGAAAATAAGGGGGATGGGGGGTGGATGAGGGGGGACCATGTCAGGAAGGGGGAGCAGGTAAGTCGGGGAAAAGGAACATGGGGAGGGATGTGGAGGGGGAGGAGGCGGAGGAGGGGGAGAAAGATAAGAGGAGGGGTGTGGGAGATGGCGCATGATGAAAGGTAGGGGGTGAAGGCATATGACAAGGAGGATGAGAAGGAGGCAGAAGCGGAGGAGGGCAGGAAGCAAGAGCAAGAGGAGAAGGAAGACGAAGAGGCGCAGCATGAGGATGGGGCCATTGCGAGGGAGAAGCGGGGAGGGATAATCACGCGGGGAGGGGCGATGGGAGTGGGAGGCTGGGGAGAGAGAGGCGCGGCAAGGGAAGCCAAGGGGGAGAGGAGAGGAGGGCATTAGGAAAACGTGGGCGGAGTGGGAAAGGTGGAGCTGGGGGTGATGGGGAGCAGCGCTGGGGAAACTCAGAGCGAGAGGACGGGGAACGGAGGACGAGGAGGACGGGGAGGGGGAGGAAGGGTCATGTGTAGACAGGACGGGGAAACAGGGGGAAGGTAAGGTGCGCGGGAGGGAGCAGGAGCGGAGGCGGGATGCAGGTTGGTCAAGGGATAACACGCTTCCTTTGTATCGTGATCTTGTTTCGAACTGTGGAGGCCCATCTGTAGGTGAAAGGCTGTAGCCAGGCGTGCGATGTGGTGTTTGTTTCAGGCGTTCATGTCTGTGGCGTTATTTGATGGATGATGTGGCACATGTTGGCGATGATTTGCGCACCTTGCTGGATGGCGGATGGCGCATCCAGTCTGGGGGAGGAGGCTTTCTGCAACACTGTGCACAGCTGTGCGATCAAACAAGCAGCTCAAGTCAGGTAAGCGCCCAGGCGCGCTCAATCTTCGCAACCATCGGAGTTTCCATCCTGGGATGCGCGCGGTAGGGCCCAAACAGGCGGCCCAAGTGCGGAACACACACGTGGCCGCCGGCAGACGTGCTGGCTCAGTTCCGCCGTGCTTGCGACGCTGGGGACGCCAGAGCGGCTTCCCAGCCCCGGCCTGGGCCCTCGCGGGAGCCGGAGGCACCACCGGGAGCCTCCGTGCTCCCGAGCCTCGCTTCCGCCGAGCCGGTCCGGCGTCGAGCACCCACCGCGCGGGCGCGTGCACGCCTGCACGGCCTGGCACCGCGCGGGCGCGTGCAGTGTCTGTGTGGTCGGCGAGGCTCAGGGCCCAGAAGGTCCAGGCCGTCTCGGAGCATCCGGGATCACCCTGCGAAGGAGGGAGGGAAGAGGCGCAGGAAGCCGAAGCGTGCACGCAGAAGGGACGTGCGGACGGGGCTGGGAGGTGGGCGAATCCGTTCTGGAGCGTTCCAGAACGCTCCCAGAGCGTTCTGGAGCGCTCTGAGAAGCCCGCGGTGCCCGAGACATCCTCCAGAGCCGCCAGATCTCAGAGATCCTCGATTCATCCGCACCCGGTTTCGTCCTCGTCCTGGCGTCGTCCCAGCAGGAAGCCGAAATGTGTGCACGGGGAAGGAGCGCCCGGGGGACGGCGAGGCGAGGACTCGCAGGGCAGGGGGAGGGCAGGGGGGGGGGACGCGCAGATTCGTTCAGGCGGAGACTCCGCCCCCCCCCCCCCCCACACAAAACA